TTTATATTTATTGGTTCGGTTCCGAAATCCATGTACATGTGTGTTTCCAGTGAAAGCAAAGTGATAGCTGAGTACAAGAAGCTACCTCCTTCAGGACCAAGGCAGCTTACTCCCGAAATGCAAAGCTCGCTAGACGCAGCAGATAAACCAGCAAAAAGAGGGAAGAAGCCAGAAAGAAAAGGGGAGAAGGAAGGTCAATCCTCTAAAGTTTCTACTCCCAAGAAGCGAAAATCTGAACAAGCAGCTCCCTCTGCTCCAAAGAAACGCAAGACCAAGAAGAAGGCACACAAGGCGAAGGCTCCTTCTTCAAGTGATTCTGACTACGTTCTATCTGACCCACAGCCCGAACCAGAGTCCAGTGATGATGACGTTTCTCAACACGAGAGTTCGCTTCGAGGTAATTCGCCTCCACCCTCACCATCTCATGAAGGTAACCGAAACTCACCTCCTCCTTCTCCTACACAATCGGTTCCTATTACCATTTCTCCATGCCCACCTCCTATCTCATCTTCAACTACAACTTCAATTCCCATTCCCACCCCATTATTCACCGAAGTTACCACAACTACTACTACTACAACCGAAACTCATGTTCGTGTCAACGTATCTGATACGGGGGCACCTACTTTCGAATCTAAAACCCCAATTACCTCAAAACCTCTATCCCCACCTCCCTCACACGAATCAGACACTGTTCTTGGCGCAACAGAAATGGAATTCGATTCCATCTATTTTAGCCCATATCGCGTTCAGAGCGATGATGATGTTGATGACGCTCCTGTCACGAAGAAGCATTTAAAGGATCTGAATGACAAGCTTGACCAATTGCTTTCTTCTTCCTCTTCTACTCCAAGTAATGCATACTCTGAAGCAGAAATCAACGCTCTGTTGGCAACTTTTGTCAAGGAGCATGGCACTTCCATTTCCAATGCTGTCAAAGCTATAGATGCTTCCACTTCCTCATGCCAGAAAGCTTCTATTGCAGTTGAAGAATCCACCAAAGATTGCAAGCAAGCGACCGCAAACGTCGAAAAACTAATTTCTGATGCTCAAGTTTTTCTTGATTCTCTTCAGGCTGCAGCTCAGAAGAATGCTCAAATGGTGAATGTTTCTGTTGATAATCTTACCAACTCGCTTCAAGCTGAAAAGAAGCACTTTGAGGAGACACGCCAATCTATCAAGTCTGCCAACACCGAGCTTCACATATCAGTTGATGCCCGTCTTACTCAACTCGAAGCCGAACTAGCTGTGGAAAGCAAGATAATGGATGAGCTGGATCGTTGAACTGCTTAGCTTAAAACTCAGAACTTGAAGCTCAAGATGGCGACCAAGGAAATTGAAGATCTTAAGTCTGAGCGAGCATTCATCAAAAGCTCTGTTGGTGATGTGCATTCCATTCTTTTACATCTTCTGGACGCACATGACTCGGTCCTTACTATCTCGGTTCGACACCACTTGGCTGAGAAATTGAGACCTGCTCTAGACATTCTAAGCAGGATTGAAGGTGTTCCAGAGCCCGTTGTCCCTCCGAAACAAGGGGGAGAAAATGTTACCCAGGGTCAATCACAACAACCTCCAAAAAGCAAACTCATCACCCAACCAAAAGTCACTGCTGAACCGAAGGGCAATGAAGCTTCGGGCAATATGAAGGACAAACGAAAGAAGAACATTGGTGATGATGATGATGTTGAAATCGAAGATGTGGCTGAAAAAGAAGAAAAAGCTTCCAAAATCGAAGACCTCAAAATCAAGCGAACTGATCGAGAGCTTGAGGAAAAGCTTCGTAAAGCAAATGAAAAAGCTGAAAGGGAGAGGAAACAAAAAGAAGCGAACGATGCATTAGAACGAAGGAAATCTATGTTCCCTCTGTGGACAATGGAAAAGCTTCTGAAGTAGGTAATTGAATCTCCAAGCACACATTGGCTCGAACCGGTCCTTTCATTTGATCTTGAGAATTCCAAGGATTCTCAATTTGATATGCCAATCACCCGAAAAGCGTCCATCTTTCATTGTTTTGAGTCAACAGTTGCCATCCCATCTCCTGACCCGAAGGTTGATCGAGACCTGATCGAATACTATCTTACGTTCTCTCAACCACAATACCTGACTTGGAGTAAACAGAAGATCACAACAGTGAAGGTGTTGAAACCCACTTCGGCAGGGAAGTTTATCAATGTCAAATTCAAAGTGACCCGAGGCTCAGACAGTTCGGTTCACATGATCTCCCTAGCCGATCTGCCAAATTTGAATCCTCATGACTGGATTCTCATGAACAATATTTTGTTGACTAATCAACAAGAATATGAGCCCATCATTGATCACATCAAGCGAATGCTGGTGTGCTATATTCTTGAAGTCGCAAAGATGGATCAGGAAATCGCCTCTGCCTTGAGAAGGAAGCCCACTATCAAGCCAATAGGGAAGGCAAGCGACATCAACGTGATGATGAAGGGAACAATCGACCCACAGTTTCATACAGTCATGTTCATCAGGGGCGAAGGTCAAAAATGCCTGTTCGCTCTCGTTGACAAACACCTGTTCTCCACTTCCTGCTTGGAGCACATTCTTGATATCATACACAGGTGCAATCAAAAACAGTGAAGCGGATAAGAAGATGTTTTCAGATATGCTTCGGTGGTATATTAACTTTCGTCAAACTCTTCTTGCCATCATACCAAAACTGTTCAAGACTGTGAAGAAAATCACCGTTACTCAACCGAAGTGATCTCTCGCCTCAATTGGCGCAAATGGGGAGATTTTTGAGTCTATGGGTTACACCATTGGGCTTAGCTCTTAAGTCCATTTGTATACTCGATCTGGGCCTCTCCAGCCATGTTTTGTTTTTAGGGTTTAGTATATATATATAGTGCATGCATGCATTATATTGATTACGCTTCTTGATTATTTTACAGATCTTGTACTGTAACCCTAGCACACCTCTACAGTAGCAATTCTCATTGAATTCTTCTGAGGTGGAGCATATTAATCATTCGACACTCGTTTGATTCATCGTGGTGTTTATCGTTTTCTATTACTTGTTATTGTCTTATTGATATCTGTTTGAATCTATCCATCTTAGAGAATATTATTCTCATCATATATATATATATATATTATATATATATATATATATATATATATATATATATATAGAGAGAGAGAGAGAGAGAGAGAGCTTTAACTTCTATACCTATATATAAAATTATGTGGATTTTAAACTATTTTTTGATTTGGGAATTAAAAATTTAATTCATGTAAAGATTTTCTATGATAATAATTCAACTTTAAAACTTGTGTTAACTCCTAATTTTCACGAAAAAAACAAAACATTTTAAAGTTGATGTCCTTTATTTAAGAGAAAAGGTGTCAAAAGGAATTTTGAAAATTGTTAAAATTATTTTAGATGAACAAATGGCTGATATTTTTACAAAGTCTTTGACTTCAAATCAATACAAGTTTTTATGTTTTGAACATGATTAAGTTTCTTTATTTAACTCAATTTTATTCTTAGGGGGGGGGGGGGTTGAGAAGCTATTTACTAGCTTGTTAATATTTGTCAAGAATACATTGAGTCGATAATGATAACTAACTTAGTATGTTTAAGTGCAAGAATATGTTGAGTCAATAATGATAACTAACTTAGTATGTTTAAGTGCATGGTGTAAAGTGTCAAGTAGTAGAGAGTTGATAATGAGCTGTGGGGAAATTATTTTTTGTTGAGAGAGTAGAAACTGCCATAAAGCTAAATAGGAGGACGTGACTCGTGTCTTTAGAAGTTGGAGTTGATAAAGTCACGCAGACCCATCTGGGGTCGGGTTTTGTTCGAATGTTTTATGGGTTTTACCCGCTACTCGATCTACCTTTAACTCATTCAACAAATAGAAGTGTGAGTGTATGTGTATTTCGTTAATTCATTTACTCATCACACACATACATCACTCCATAAACATTTGTATTCTCTCTCATGTTTAGGGTTTGTTCATCTCATACAATTGTTCGGTTTTAGAGAGTTTTAGAGAGTTGTAGTGTTCTTGAGGGAGATATATTGTTGTAGTGAGATTTGTTTTGTATTAATTGTTTTCTAAATCAGTAAAAGAATCTCCTATTATTTTAGTCAACTGAGTAGCTAATAACTTAGCTATAATTTTGTATTGAATTTAAATGAGACTAATCAATTGGTAGACATTAACAAATAACGAATTACCCAATTTAGGTATAAGTGTAAAAAAAAGAGGGATTGCAGTCGTTGAGAATACTACCATAATGAAAAAATTGATGTACTAAACCCAATGTAATTTTCTAATACATTCCAAAAATGTTTGACAAACTGAAAAGAAAAGCCATCGGGTCCAAGGGCCTTGTCACTACATGACGAAATCCCAACTTTAATTTTCTCCAAAGAAAACCGATCCTCCAACATTTGAACTTCACTGAGAGCTCCGATAACTCCTATAACTCCCTTTTCAAAAGCTAAAAAACGTCTTCATAAAAAGAATGAAAAAATAACTAAGTTTCATCTCAATTGGGTCCATGATTCAATATCCATCCAACATCACACATTTAATCAACATTTTCCCTCCCCTTCTATTGGCCATTCCATGAAAAAATTTACTATTTCCGTCACCCTCGATGTCCCATTTTATCTTTGCCTTTTGAGACATATCGCTAGCCTCTACATGTTCCATGTCATCAAGATTTTTAAGGAGATTAAGACATGTCTCAATCTCAAGCTCCAACGCATTCCCATAATCCATCCTCCTATCAATACTGTTAATTTCTTTCAAAATGTCACACTTTAACGTCTTATTTTAACCTCTAATCCGAATCCCATATCACAAGATGACACATACTTATTAAGAACTTTGGAGAAGATGATGAGGATATATAATATCGTCTCTCACAAATGGCGCCAAATGATGCTACATTAGATTGAACATAAAGGTCTCAAGGAGTCATAGAGCCTAAACATGGAGATCTTAATAGTTTGATGTAAGATTATATGAAAGGAGGTGAATGCGTGTGAATTGAATTGTGAAACGTCTATACAAATTCTAACTACACTTTTTTTTTTTTTTTTGTACAATTAAATGTAAATTTCTAAACAATAAACATTATCAAAACTTTGCATTAAAACCTACTACACTCCTTGACCTTTTTGCTTCTCATGAACATTTGATATAATCTCTTGAAGCTCTGGAAAAACCGTTATGAGTACAAGTTCAAGTAAACCATACGCAAGTTGCTTCAAACATACGGCAGACTGCATTTTTAATAATAATAAAAAAAATTCTTTACACTCTTCGTTTTTTTTTTTTTTTTTAATATTTAATAATGAAAAAGAATAGTGTTTATTTAATTAATTACCTGGAGAAAATAATACACATCTTTAGCACAACGCTTGTATTGCTTACGTCCAATCAAGCTCACCAATGTAGTAGGCGCACCCTCTAAAAAATATTATTATATTTGCTAATAAATATAAAACCAAATAATAGAAAAGCCATTATATTTTGGGAAATTTTGTGGTTTAAATTTTAAGTTTAACCACTTGTATTTTTTATTTTCCTTTTAAACCATAAAAGTTTTATACATTTTTATTTTCTTTCAAATTAACCAATTTGACCGGATATAACATGTCAAATTGGTTAATTTGGAAAAATGTAAGAAGCTTTTATAATTTGATTGCTCAAAATATAATTTTTTTTTTGACAAAATTGCAAAAATGGTCCCTATGGTTTGTCATTTCCTGTGACTAAGGTCCAAACGTTTGAAAAATTACAAATATGTTCCTTTTCAACTAGTTTTATCGTGAATTTGGTCCTTGGAAAACTTGAAATGTCTATTTTAACCCTTTTAGTTTATTTTTCCCTTTATTTTTAATTGTTTTTACCATTTTTGTTAATAAAAAAATAAAAATAAAGGGAAAAAGAAATTAAAAGGGTAAATTAAACATTTCAAGTTTTCCAGGGACCAAATTCATGATAAAACTAGCTGAAAAGGACCATATCTGCAATTTTTCAAACGTGTGGACCTTAGTCATAGAAAATAACAAACCACAGGACCATTTTTGCAATTTTGTCTTTTCTTAACAAATGAAAAGAAAATGAAAAAAATAAATAAATACTCACTAAATATCATCTTTTTGATATCGCTAGCTCTTCGGGCAGCCTCAAGTTGCTCCTCAAATGACCCTTGTTTATTAGCCTTGCTGCCCGATGGTGCTCGGGCAGCTCCTTCATTTGTTTGAGAAGAATCCAATTGACTTGACTTTACTTTTAGAAAAAACGTGCCTTCGGGCCACAGAATCTTTAACATATTTAAGATTTTAGTTTTTTTTTTTAATTACAAATTGTAATTTTATTAATCCTCTCTAATAAATAAATGTTTTTTTTGCCACTTGTCAATCTCTCATGCGTTTGACACTTGTCATTTTGTGGTATATTTGAAATAAATATCATCCACTTGTCAATTTCTGGTTTGTTTCAATTTTTAAAATTAAAGTCATATATTTATATATGTAAAGTATTAAATATAATATATATGAAATTAAATTGCAATGAATAGGTTTCTTCTTTTCTTATTTTAAAGTTTTACATTAAAAAACATTTACTTCTTACATTTTTAATGTTTAATTTTTTTTTAAATTAACCCGTATAATATACGGGTCTCACACCTAGTTAAATATATATGAATCATTAAAGTTATTAAAAACTTACATCTTGGATCCAACGGATGCCTTGAGCAACAATGTCATCTCTCCTAAGCAATTGAATTTGTCTCAACAGCCAATCATCGATAGCATCTTCCATCATTAGTTGCAAAATTTGCTTTGACATCCAAAAAACCTGTCGTCTGTATAAACAAATATGATTTTTTAAGATTTTGTAACTAAATTACCGTTTTACCCTTACACTAGTGTAAAGGTAAAAAATGGTCATTTCTAATTCATTGGTTCTTGTCGAAGATATTAAATCAACAAAACATTTTTTTTTTTTGCTAAAAAAATAAGACGAAAATAACTAACCTCAACCAGCCTCTTCGGTTGAGTTGAAATATCTTGTCTACCAAATTTAGCAAAGGAACACTTACATTAGGTGGGGACCACTGTAAAAAAATAATATAAAAGTCAAAAACAAAATAATTGCTTCACATACAGATTTTACAATAATTTAGTATTTTAGCAGTTTTGGTCCTTATGTACAAAATAAATTACAAAATCAGTCCCTGTAATTTACAGAAAACATCCCTGTGCAGATTGTTTTTACAGAAATGGTCCATGTGTTTAAGACTTTCATACGTTAGCAGATTTGGTCCCTGTATAGAAAATAAATTACAAAAACTGTGCCTTTAGTTTACAGTAAAGGTCACTGTGTGAATATTTTTTTTACAGAAACAGTCCATATGTTTATAAAATTTGCAGACTACGTTTAATAATATTACAAAAATAGTCCCTACCTAATAGAAAATTTGAAAATTACCCCCTCCCCCCGGCAATATATTGCCATGTTTTGTCCCTACACTTTGGCCACAGGACTTGTGTATATTTGCAAGTTTGCTCCCTACACTTTTGTACTTACTAATTAAAGCTAAGATTTATCTATAATATAGAGATAAATCAATAAATCATAATCCGAATATAAAAAATTTAGAATATATATTTAATTTACCTCTGCTGGCATACCAAGTGGATCTTCTTTAGAACTTGAAGGAAAAATTTGCAGCCATGGTCAACACTTCAGATCTGACCTCTGAACTATTTTTCTTTTCCAAAACCAAAATTTTATTCTGTTCATCATTTTTATTAACAATTTTGGGTGAAAGTCCTGATTTAAAATTGACCTCATTGTCCAAATAGCCCCCGTAAACTTGTCCCATTGATTCCATTTCCTCATTGTTAATAATTGTCTTATTATCTTTTTCACCTTCTTCATAATCAGAAACAATGTTATTGTTATTGTTTCCCATATCAAAAATAGGTTGCTTTAATGGTGAATCATTTGCTTCATTTGTGTTCCATGTCATGTTTCTGTTTGCACTTGAAAAAGAAGAAGAAGAAAATTCAGAAGGGGACCCACCCGGGCCCACGGATTTTCGCATTCTTCCACCTTTGAATTGGCGTACAATGTCATCCACAGCATCATCCACGTTGACTGTTGTTGACCAAATAAATAATAATAATAATAATCAAATAATTTGAAAAATTGACCTATTGGTTTGAATTATGATGACATGGCGGAAGTAAACAAGTTTTTATGCCATGTCATTGTCCACATGTAGTATATTGATGATTTTGAAAATTTTCTTTATATAAACACTATAAATTATCAAATTTGTTACTACTTTTTTTGTAATAGAATCAAAAGGGTGTGTAAAAAAACAAAAAGTATTATGATGTAATAAAAAATAGGGTTAATCTCATAAAAGATCTTATATTTTGTGTTTTTTCCGGATTAAACCTCGAACTTTATTTCTTTTCCTGAAAAAGACCTTGTATTTTTTCATTTTTTTTGAAAAAACCTTCAACTTTGTCTTTTTTTTTTTCCGAAAAAAACCCTCAACCTTTTAAATGCTTCCAAATAAACCCTCAACTTTTTTAGTTTTTCTCGAAAAAACCCTCGCATATTACAATTTTTTTGGAAAAAATGACTAAAAGGGTCAGATCGGAAAAAATGAAAAATACAAGGTCTTTTTCAGGCAAAAAATAAAGTTGAGGTTTAATCCGGAAAAACACAAAATATAGGGTCTTTTTTGAGATTAACTCTAAAAAAAGTTGTAAAATGTGAGGTTTTTTTTAGGAAAAACTAAAAAATTTGAGGATTTATTTGGAAACATTTAGAAGGTTAAAGGTTTTTTTCGGAAAAAAAGACAAAGTTGAGGGGTTTTTTTTTTCGGAAAAAATGAAAAAAATATAAGGTCTTTTTCATGAAAAAAATAAAGATGAGGTTTAATCCGGAAAAAAACACAAAATATAAGGTTTTTTATGAGATTAACCCTAAAAAATAATTTGAAAGTAGTGCTTCTTGTTTGTTTTTTGGACTGAATGAAGTGTATGAAATATAGATAAAAATTAAACATACCTGCTAAGGCTCTCACTGCAGAGGATGACCTTCCAAAAGAGTAACTCTGTGGTGTGTTAATAATATACTTTAAAAATACTAATTTTGAATATATATATATATATATATATATATATATATATATATATATATATAGAGAGAGAGAGAGAGAGAGAGAGACTTTTGAAGACATGCTCAAGAAGTCCCATACTTCATGTTGCTCAGCGATATTAGCAATAGACAAAAGTTCCTTCAAAACAACAATTTTTTTTTCATATATAAAATTGACATATCATGATTTATAACTAATACTTTATTATTATTTTTTTTTCAATCAAAGCATAAAAGTTTCAGATTTTTTCAAAATGAACCTTTTTCACAGGTGATTTTCCAAATTAACCAATTTGATATAACATGTCAAAATGGTTAAATTGGAAAAATGTTTGTAACTTTTATGGTTTGATTGGAAAAATATAAGAGTTAGTCTCAAAAAAACCTTATATTTTATGTTTTTTCTGGATTAAACCTCAAATTTATTTTTTGCCCGAAAAAGACCTTGCATTTTTTTCCGAAAAAGCCCTCAACTTTGTATTTTTTTCCGAAAAAAAACCTCAACCTTCTAAATACTTCCAAATAAACCCTCAACTTTTTTGATTTTTCTCGAAAAACCCTCAAATTTTACAATTTTTTTTGGCGAAAAATGACTAAAAGGGCCAACTCGGAAAAAACGAAAAAATACAAGGTCTTTTTCAGGCAAAAAATAAAATTGAGGTTTAATCCGGAAAAAACACAAAATATAAGGTCTTTTTTGAGATTAACCCAAAATATATAAAGTATAAGTTGTTAAACATCAAAATTGGTCAGAATATAATGATTTTTTTCGATATAAATTCATACTTTGAGATATTTATCAAGCTGTATACATCGTTGGTGAACAAATGCATCTTCTGTGCTAGATGAGAATATTCTTTTAGGAGGCAAATGTAATGTGTAATTGGGAATGTCCTTAAGATGTCTGTGTAATCTTTCAAAATTCCTGTATCTGTTGATAAAAATGGAAAAAATACTAAATACAAATATTTGATACAATAAGTAGGAAATTTAAATGGTAGTTAAAGAGATTAGTAATAACACCTTCTTTTCACAAACCAAGTTTTGTTATCAGCATCTGTCACTGCAATTGAATACACTGCAAAGGATTTTGAGTCAATATTCTCAAAGAATGCTCCTAAAACCTGTAGAATCAAATGAATTTTGTTATAAAATAAAGGGTTTTATAAAAATATAAAATAAGAATAAAGGAGAATAATCTTACCCGACACCTAAGCTTTGGAACATACCCTTCAGTTCTTATCACTTTATTATCAGAAGCAATATTATCAACACTTTGTACATCATTATCTCTTCCAGGATTCACACTATAGAACTCTGGGATAATAGTTCCAGTTCCTCCAACTTGAATTGGAGATGCAGTTTCACTCAAAGTTTGAATGTTTGACTCAGATGCACTATTTAATCTCTTCAACTTCCCATCACTTCCAAAATCAAAATTTATATTGTCATCAACTAAAGATAACCGAGTTGGTGTTGTCTTGTTTTGTCCAACATCAAGATTTTGGTCTCTTTGTTGATCAAATCCTGTATCAAGATTAGAATTCTCATTGATTCCACCTTTTATGATACCAGAAGCAGAATTCTTTTGAGATTTCTTCATATAGTTTCTTCCTTTAGTCCACATGTTTTCAAGATTCTCTGGTTGAAGAACTTCTGTCCTTCTTTGGGTTGCTGCTTCAAGAACACGGGCCCAATCAGAAGTCCGTGTAGGCATTGAGTCATCTTGGATGGGCCCACTAGCCATGGTAGCAGATGGGTTTACAGTTGTAGAAGATTCCTTTTGGATGTTAGAAGTAGATGGTGTTTTCTCTAACTTTTGACTAGAAGAAGACCCACTGTTTGACTCTGGACCTTTTTCATTAACAGAAGGTTGATTCTGGGGTTGAACAGTTACATTAGATTGATCATCAGCTGTTTCTTTCTCTCCCTTATTGGTAGCAAGAAAAATACCCTCAATCAACTCATTGATACGCCTGTTGAAAAATTTAAATTACAAGTTGAAAAATGTGGAGAAATAGAAATTAGAAAGAGTATGATTCTTGAAAACTCACCCAGGGCTTGCGAATCTCATTACAGGTTCCATTACTAAGCAGGTTAAAAGCTCTCGTGTAATGCATCGAACTAAAGGGCATTGAGCTTCTCGTGGTCTAAGAACAGCAGCCAAAAGTGCTCCCATAATCCGCTTAAGAAACTACAAGATAAGAATCATAAATCAGAAAGGATTCATAAAAGATCAATGAAGATGGTGATAATCTTACATCAGAACTCTCATCTCACACCTTGTACTCACTCTCGGGAGATATCAAAGCTGGATGAAGCTCCTTTGAAGCCATGAGATGGTGTTTTAACCTTTCATCTCTTTCTTCAGAAGATAGTGTCACCATAACCTCCCTCCCAATAGAAGCTTGGTTTTTCCTGAAAAGCTCTAGGTGATCCCCTACTAGGTCAACTACATCCCTGAAACAATCACAATATAAATATATCCCAATTGATTCAAGTTTCAAGTTAATTGGATACTGAGAAAGGATTCTAGATGTACAAACCTTGTTAGCATGTCAACAAGGTTTATGTCTTTGACTCTCATGGAAATTTCAGCAAGAATATCCATGATAATAGCATGTATGAGCTGTGGAGCTTCCTTGTCAGGTGTTATATCTGAATACCAGAGATCAACAACAAATTCTTGTAAAATCTTGTTAGTAAAATCTTCCATGGCAGCCTCAACTACTGGAGAATCAATCTTCCGTTTCCATTTAGGTGGAGGAGGCAAGGTGTTGAGACGAGAATCATTCACAGACAATTGTTTTTTCTCCAAGTGTGCTAGATATGAATGTCGCCGTGATTTCCTGATCTTCCAATGGAAATCCACTTCGGTTATTAAAATGTGAACGCCTGATACCAGAAGAATTGCTATAGGAACATTCATCCACATCGATTTACTGGTGTCTGTAACAATTAAACCATTAATTAATCAGCGTTCAGATGCAGTTTTAGAAATTAACAATTGACGCAATACGTTCGCTAACGCTGAATTATCACAAATTCATACAATAACACATCCTAATTTGAAATAAAATCAACAAAACAGGAAAAAATTTACATGATCTAAAAAAAAAAAACTGAAGAAACTTACGGGTTAAAAAGTACGTAACAGCGAAAATACAAATAGCCCACCATACAGTACGAAGCTTTGCTTCTTCGATCAGATCCTGTAATGTTTCCATAATGTTGGTTGGTATTAAACCCTAATGCTCGATTGAGAACATGGTTCGTTAATCGTTATGAAACAAATAGTAGATTGTGATGAATCTGAATTGTAATGAGGTTGAAGCGAAAATGATTCGATTGGGGGGCATGATCTCATCGAACTCGAAATCCAAAATTTTGGGATCATGAAAACGAGAGTTTGTGGGATTTCTTGTGGCGACGTTGCTGTAGCCGTTTGGTTTCATCCGCCGTGGAAGAGGGAGACCGGGATACAGTTATTGAGAGATCCACGTGTCACTCAGAATATCCATCTTGGAAAAAGACAAATAAAAGTAACGAAATTATTTTCTTTATGTTTTTAAGTAAAAAAGAAGTAAACATTTGGTTTGCAGATTGTTTTGAAATGTTTTAGAATTTATAGATATTATGTAATTTATTGGTTTTGGATTTTAAATGAATTAGTTTAAAAAATTAAGATGAAATTTAGTTTTAATAATCTTTTAAATATATGATAAATTACAAATTTATTCATTGCCAACTTAGGTACATGACATTTAAAAAAGAAAGACGTAAAACATAAAGTCTAGTGAGATATAGAGATTTTACATAGAGATAAAATCGAATTTCAAATTTTATAAAATATAAAATTGTCTAACATACTTCAAATTTAAGATAATTTTTTCATGACAGTATGTAAATACAATATAATGGGGAAAATGACTCTTTAGGGTAACTAACTGTTGCGTTTGTTTTCATTTGGTCCCTTTCATTTTTTTTGTACTCAATATACCATCGAACTTGTTGTTTGTGTTCACCATAACCCTTTTGACCGGCTTTTGACCTGTGATAGCCGGGCAAAGGGTTATGGTGAACACAAACAACAAGTTCGATGGTATATTGAGTATAAAAAAAGGAAATGGACCAAATGAGAACAAACTCAACAGTTGGTTACCCTTTTGAGTCATTTTCCCCGAAAAGTTAAATGAAATTAAAGTTGCAAAATTATCAAAGACTGCAACCTTCTTTGGCCATAACGTATATGAAAAGCGTTTTGAAGGGGTAACTTCGTTAAAACAAGGTCTATGATATTCTTACTGTGGTTAGCTGTCAACACCTTTCTGCAAAAAGATATGACTGTGTATGAGAGGTATATTTATCAGCATAAACGTTTGCCACAAGGTAAATTATGGTGATGTGTCTGCAAAAGCTGCATGATATTGTACATATTGATGTTGTATCTTATCCTATGAATTCGATCTTAAAGCTAAGTAAACTAAAAAATCACAGCACTTGTGATTCCACTCGTTTGTAGACTTGTCTAGAATACATGATACGATAAATCATTTGATTGGAAAAGTAAATGTAGTCATTAAATGCACCTGCTTAGTCAAGATTCCCCTAATAAGTATTCAAGTGCATGACAAAGTTGTACATGTATGAATAATGTTATTTCGTGAGTTATGTTTTGAAGAGAAGCAAGAATGAATCTCATAAAGTCATTAATATCAGCAGGAGATGACGTGAGATTTGTTGTAAATGAGTAAAGGGAAAATGAATCAGGAGGGTAACCAACTATTGCATTTGTTCTCATTTGGTCACTTTCCTTTTTTTATGTACTAAATATACCATCGAACTTGTTGTTTGTGTTCACCATAACCCTTTGACCGGCTATCACAGGTCAAAAGCCGGTCAAAAGGGTTATGGTGAACACAAACAACAAGTTCGATAGTATATTGAGTACAAAAAAAGGAAATGGACCAAATGAAAACAAACGCAACAGTTAGTTACCCTAAAGAGTCATTTTCCCCAATATAATGCATGAACTCAAACACTTGACATCGAGTAATCTTATTCCCTATCAAAAGGCTCTTTGCTTGTCCTTGTTAGTTTATTATCTTAAGAAACATCTAAGTTTATAATGATATTAGTGTCATAGACCATTTATTTGACTCTTTGCAATCACATTCTATATATATACAAGCACATTAAGCAATCTTTCCATCGATTCTTACAAGTTTGAAGCGGAAACGGAGAAAGATTTAGGGAAATCAAGAGTGAAATGCTCGTCCTCGATCGTGCGTAGTGAATTGTGAAGAAAAAATCTTGGTTGTTGGTCGCGATTTTGTGATGATCATAGGAATGGATGCGTGTTCTTAAAAAAAAATATAAAATGACATGCTTACACGACACGCGTTTTATGATAGGCGCTCTCCTTGTTTTTATTTTTTTATGCTATGACACTAATTCAGGACACACAAAAATATGTGTCCTAAATCCTTCAAATTTTGGGAGAGATGTCATTATTTTTAGGACACACACTTTTACGTATCATAAAACCAGTACGTGTCATGGTTTGTGTGTCATTAAAGGTCTTTATTCTAGTTGATTTTGACTGAGTCATCATTAGTTGTTTTGTTATTCTGTTTGTTTACTAGCTTTCCTTTGTCTTTCGTCTCTTTTAATGTTTACCTTCCACCTTAAATCGCCGATTACTTGCAACATATCTTTTACTCATAGTAAAGATCCTTTGGTTGGGCTTTCTACCAGTTTCCATGGTGTTTCTAAATTTTCATTGAATTCTCCTTCTTTCCTTGTTTGTTTCTTTGGACCGTAGGATTTTCGACTTTTGTCTTCGTGCGATTTTTTTGCTACATGTGGCATTTGGCGTCCTACTTTTTGGGTTGGTGTACAACATGATTTATTTCATTCGTAAATTTTTCTTAACCTTGTGTTGGGGGTGCCAATTATTGTTCAAATTCATACTCTTGTATGTAATTTAACTACTCCATGAATCGTTGAAGCTACTGCTTGGAATTGTTACATGTATGTACTTCCAAAAATGACATTTTAAGGTGATGGTGTGTGTGTGTATATATATATATATATATATATATATACACACACATACACACACTACTACAAAACACGTTATAGGACTCACCAAATTGGACCCAGTTTCTTGGAAAACTGGGATACATTATGAAAAAACTAGGACTTATAAAGGGAAAAGCTATACGACCCGGTGTAACTGAAAGAACCGGGGTCTATGTTATTGTAAGGTCCAAATAAGGATCTTTACCAGTAGTTGCACAACCATCAATCACAAAATAAGAATAAGATAAAAGAAATCAAGCTTGCACACGATTATATTGAGAAAATCGTCTGGTACAACTCGATAGGACTTCTTTGGCATCAACCACCCTAAAAGACTAACACCTCCTCTATATATACAAGACACGATCAAGACACAACCGCAAACTGGGTTTGCGACCGTAAACTGAGTTTACGGTCGTAAACTGTGTTTACGGCCGTAAACACAGTTTACGGTCGTAAACGTGTTTACGGCCGTAAACCCAGTTTACGGTCGTAAACAGACAAAATGTTCAACAGACAGCAAACAACCCGTATACACTATAACAGACTCATTTTGAACACAAAAACAGTGAAAGCCTAGACCAAACCATTTCCAGGGTCCTTCAATCTCCCCCTTGGTTTGGATCTAGCCTAGACTCAATCCTTGTCGACCACCAGAACATCCGACTTTCCCATTGCACCATTCCACATTTTCTTCTCAATGATCTCAGCCACCATTGCCGTGTATTCTTTCGCCGCGGGCTCGAATATTGGTTCAGCCACCATAATCTGCTGAGTAGCAAGATGATGAATGTCCCATTGGTGAAATTGAAGCAAGTCCCTTTTCTCGTAAAGACGGATGCAATCATCTTTAAGCTTGATGACAGCGGCATCTGTTAATTCATCATATACCCAATACAGCATGGATGCAAGAGAACCATCAGAGTAGTTTTGAAGAACAGGGACTTGTTTCACTTGAGCAGTGGCTGGCCACATCACTTGTTTAAGAGGCTGATCAGTTTTGGGATCAAGCACATTGGGATGAACCTTGACGATTGACTGAGCGGTCTTCATCGAAGGAAATCCTTTAGCAACTTGATCTTCCAAAAACGATTTAAACTGGTTCGCCCTGGGATTATTTGAAGGATTGGAGAAAGGAGCCTTAGACAGCTCAATAAGATCAACCTTGGTAAAAGAGTCAAAGTCGTGAGCATCTTTGTATAGTTCATTTTTGCCGCTCTTTCTCCTTACCATGAACATGTTCATCGTGTCATGGAATCCCCATGAGATGATTCCAGACCTGTCACCATAAATGTCTCTGAAGCGATTTTCGCCCAGATCCGTAACAGTAACCTGTTGTTTATCCCAGGGCGCCTTATGATCTGCACTTCGTTTAAATAGAAGTTGACCCTTTTCAGATTCCTGGGTCGACTTCTTGCGTTTTAAGGTCTTTCCACGAGGAGCTTGCTCTGGTTCCTTTTCAAAGCGGTCTACGACGGTGGTGGTTCTGATAGTTGAAGGGGCAATGGGAGCATCTTGATTAGGAAGATAAATCTGTGGCTCTTCAACAGATGACTTGAATTCGCCCCCAAACTTATCTTCCAGCTTCTTCTTCAAATCATAGTAACTGGCTGTTAGAAGGCCAAAATGAGTCTGGAGATCTGTAATTTGTTTGGTCTTAGCAGCATTTTCTTCATTAAGTTCTGCCATTTGAATACTGAGCTGTGTGTTTTCAGCTTGAAGGCTTGTGACTTTAATGTCAAGCTCAATATTCCTCTGATCCAACTCTACATTTTTCTGATTCAGAGTATCGATCTGCTTCTGAAGACCAACTAGTGTAAGACCTTCTTCTCCTGTGTTATCACCCCCTATATGAATTCCTTTGCCACGCAAGGGTGATGTTGAAAATGGTTCTCTGGCCAAGAGCGTTGCTAACTTGACAGAGGTAGCGTTGTGCTCTGGCCTCGGAGGAGAGAGGTCCGTTTGGAAGGACGAGCCACCGGCTTCATAAACGGTACTGGGACCTTCACTATTTGGCACGTTTGAGACTATGACTGGGGTTGTTGTTGGTGGAGCTGAAGCACTTTGAGTTACCAATCTTGGGTCACGTCTTCGTCTTTTGCTAGAAGGGGGTGTAGATAGGGTGACTGGAGGATCACTTTCTATCGGCGCAGATGTAGGTAAGATAACATCAAGGGGAGGAATCCCTGACGTCACTACCATAGGAATTGCTATTTCCGCCGATGTTTTGGTTGAAGGAGGTGTAACTTCAAGAACATCTTCTTCTTCCCTTGTCTCAGTTGCTGGTTTAACAACTTCATCGACAGTGTCGAGTAGCTCATTGAGGTTTTCCTCTGTCAAGAAATCCTCGTTACTCCCAAAATTAATAG